CCCCCCCCCCCCCCCCTATTGCAAGCGGGCCCCAGTGCCCAAGGCTATTACTACATCAATCAAGTGACAAGTTCGCAGCAAACAGCAGGGGCCAACAGGCCTTAACCATAGCTTTTCATTGTGATGCGAAAGCATAGTAAGAAATTAATAACCTAAGAACCTATGCTAACCTACCTCTCCCATTCTTTGTGGCAGCTTGTTCATGGGAAGTCGTCACCATCTGATGCGAGTGAGGATAACGAAGTCTTTCATAAGCAGAAAGCGCATCAAGTTGGCGGAGAGGGGGCGGGGGAAGAACATGACATCTCAGTTGTGGCCCACTGCCACCACAATACTCTCAATAGCCCGCTACTTCCCGAAGGTTCGGAGGAAGAAGAGGATGTGAAGCTGCCCGATATGACCCCGTTGGAGAGTTTATGCAGCCTGAGTTTCTGGTAAAGTCATGCTTCCTTTGCATCGTTGGAACTCGAATGGCATTCAGGTCGCAATTGCCTGTCACAGTGGAAGCTTCTGTCAGGCGCACCTAAACTGACACAGTCGTTAACTAAGGGCTATCGGGTTCATGCAAATAGAATGTCCGCCGTCACCATATGCAGAGTGAAAGTTGCGCCAAATACAGCTGTAATAACCTGGTGTTCTTATTTGGGGGAAGATGGTGAGGACTTTCTTCAGAGATGTATGCAACACTGCAATTTTTTTTTTTTTTTTTTTTAGATTAAAAAAATGCATGCTTGTCTTCTCCTCATATGGGGGACAGCCACATCTTTTCCCTCAGGATTGTACCTCGGACTACCGATCCCGCCCCAGACGAGCAAGGGATCAGCTGTATTCTTACCTCGTATCACCTACTGTGGACAAACAACTCTACAAGAGCCCATCCACACACCAAGGGGATCTAGGGCTTAGGACTACCGTCTTCACCCGAATACAATGCCCAGTCATTATACCCGTATTTGGCGCGATTTTCAGTCCAGATACGGCTATAATGACCGGGTGTTCCATTCGGGTGAAGACGGTAGAATACAAGGCCACGTTAAACCACCAGTACATCCGAGAAAGCAGGTTGAGCTTCTCCCAAAAATTTGGAGGTTTTTGAAAAAATAAAATAAAAAAAATTGGAGGCCATGGACCGTTGAATTGGCGGTTCATGGCCTCTTATTTTTCAGGAGAGACTCAATCTCCTTTTTCGAATGTACTGGTGGCTTAAACCTCTAGTACACGGCCCCAGCCTTGCTGACCGAAACTTGTCGCCACAAGGAAACAAGGCCGAAATGTCAAACGCAGGGCCTGCCGTTGATAAATTGGATCGGCGGTTGCGTTTCCGTTTCGTGCTTCCAGATTTCGAGGTGTCAGGCCCGCGGGTGCCCATGTACTGGTGCTTTAAACCACAAGTACACGGCCCCAGCCTTGCAGTCTGATACTTGTCGCCACAAGAAAACGAGGCCGAAACGTCAAACGCTGGGCCCGCAGTTGATAAATTTGATCGGCCGTCGCGTTTTCATTTTGCGCCTCCAGAATTTGAGACGCCAGGCCTGCCACCCAGGTGTCCATGTACTGGTGCGTTAAGCAGCTATATGTTATGTCCTAATCTACCGGCTACGGCTAAGCTCCCCTAAGAGTTATGGGTTCCCTCAGGGTTGAGCCTAACACCTGGCAAGGAAGGGAGGGGGGGGGAGGGGGAGGAGCAGCAGGTTTAATGGAATTTTTCGGTGGGGTAAACTTTAAATGATTTTTCCAATTTTTAAAAATTATTATTATGTTTTTTGTTTTGGTGAATTTTGCTGTGTTTTGGTTGAGCAGGCTACTCTTACTGAGTGCAGGCATCGGCATCGGTTCTGGAGTAGTGGTCATCAATAATTTATCACAGGCAAGACAAACACCTCTCCCCATACTATAAAACCAGCCCCTTCACAAAGCTTGAACTCATACTCTTTGCTTTCTTTCTGTCGGTTGTTGTTTAATTTTTTTTTTCCCCCAATCCCACTTGTGTAAGGAAAATGAGCAGTAGCGAGATGACAATATACAGATTGCACAATCACATTGAAAGCCAGATCGTATCACAGTGTTCAGGAAGCAGCATTGCACCAATATGACACCAATGGAGAATCGTAACACTGAAAACCAATGTCAATGAGAGCTTGCCCTCGCCACCACCAACATATGTATCCAGGCCCTTCTCCCTACTTGGCGCTCGGTGCCCAGCCTACTCCCTACACAGCTACTACTAGCCTACTGATTGACAATGCAACTGTTGACGTCAGCAGCCAACGAAGTACTTGAAGATGTCGCCCGTAGCAGACCATCGCCATTACCAGGTATGCGCCCTCACATCATCATCATCATCATCATCATCCTTCTCTCTCTCCCCCTCGACATACACCCGCGTCTTCCTTCTGTACACCCGAAGACCACCCCCTGCGCCTCACTGTAGACCAAGCTCACCTAGCCATGGAGGATGGGCTGTGGCGCTGCCCTCAGCAGCGCCCTTTTCAGCACACGACCGCACGTGCCCGCACCTTGCCTCTCAGCGCCAGCCACAGCCCGTGAGTGTCCACTCCAGCACCGCTGCCGCTAGCCTCTTTCTTATATGGAAAGAGCCTGCCTCGATTGGAGGCCTGGCTGGCCTGGGCCTCGGCCCAGAAGCTTTCGGAAGGCCCCAGTATGCTGCGCCTCTGCTGCGGCTACTGGGCCTCATTCGGTTGGGCCTCTCAACTGTCTGTGTATGAGGCTGCGATTCTTGCCCAGGGTCTGCACTTCCGGAAAGGCCAGGAAGGCCGTGGAATTTTCTTGCTGCTCGGCCTGTGTTTCCTTGAACCAACTGGCGCGTCGCAACTGTCTGGACCCCCAAATACGAAATTGACAGTCGAGGGCCTCTCGTGATTTGTTAGGCCCGCCTTCACTTAGGGCGGGCACATATGCAGCAGGGGCCCTTTAGACCTGCCGAGGACCCAGATCCTCGCACTTGGGCCTGGGGCCGTATCCATTCCAGGGAGCATCAGTCCTGTTCGTTTTCTGCTGGCAAGTCAGAGTATACAGAGAAACCCACCCATGAGGCCTCCTCACATTATGGCCCCGACAGCCCTGACAGCATTGATTATTTCCTGTGGAAGGATTTTGATTGACTGCCAGTGAGCTCACATATGAAGAGGGAGGGAAGGGGGCTCCATGAGCGAAAGATGCTGGGGAAAAAAGAATAGATATCCTCCTCACCGAACAGGTCTAACCCCCAAAGAAAACATGCTCGAAACATTACCACAGAAATCCTTCTCAATTCTAGGCTACCAACCGGGTCGCGCGGATCACCTTGGTTGCCCGGGTTGGCCCGAGCGGCCTGCCCGGGCAAGGGCCAGGGAAGGTTCCTTCAAAAACCGGGGAAAAAAAAAAAGTTAAATAAAGTTAAAAAAAGGTAAAAAAAAAACATTTCATCCATGCTAACCCCGGACCCGGACACCGGACACTTCCGGACTGTCTTCCGGACCAGTGTCTGGACCGGTCCGGACTGTCCGGTGATCCGGACATTACCGTACACCCGGACATCACCGGACCCGGACAGTCCGGACCGGTACCAGGGGTGCACAAATGTCCGGACGAAAAAAAAAAGAAAAGGGGGGGGGGGGGGGGGTGGGCAGGGCTGTTGGTAGGCACTTACCTGCTCTGCACTTTGTAGTTCAGGCAGCAGAGCACGTGTCTTGCAGCAAATCAACAAGCACATTTAACTAGCAGACATGCAGAGTTGCAAACTGTGCAAAGCAGGCACAAGACTAAAGAAACAGAGAATTTTTTTTTTGAAAAAAGTATGATTAGCTTTGAACTTTGAACTTTGGATTTAGTAATTTGAAGTTCATAACTTCATACACAACTTAAAGTTCAAACTTTGCAGTTCAATTCAGAACGTCAGAGTCTTCAGACTGGCAGCACTGTCAGTGCTCTCTCTCTCTCTCTCTCTCTCTCTCTCTCTCTCTCTCTCTCTCTCTCTCTCTCTCTCTCTCTCTCTCTCTCTCTCTCTCTCCAACGGGCAGCAGCGGCGGGCGCCTTGAAATTGCTCGGGCCTGTGTGAAACCCGCCACCCCAGAAACCTGCAGTGTCTTGTGTCCGGACCTCTAGGCCCTGTCCGGTGGGGTGAAATGACACTGAAAAATCACCCCGTTATTTTTTGAGGGGCAGCCAGGACCCGATAAACGTCCTGGGCCGCCCCCCCTTTTTTTTTTTTTTTTCTCCCCAGGGGCCTCCATCCGGACATCAGGACCAGACACCGGACACCGGACACCGGACTGTCAGGAACGCGGTCAGGACGTCCGGATGGTTACCATGATTTCATCTTTCTTTTTTTCCCTTTTTTTGTTTCTCTTGGGGAAAATTTGTCTGGCGCCCCTGTAATTTTTATTATTTTGCATCGCAACCCTCCGACGGACCACTTACCCTGTCGTGCCCCTAGGGCCTCTGAACTGTCTTGCATGCCCCTGTAAGCAAGGGGCGCAACTTTCCGCGGTGGACTTACTGGACAGCCATGTTACCGGTGTCGAGCGTATCGGCCCCCGCGCGAGCGAGGGCCCTCCCGGCCGCGTCACGCAGGAGAAACTTAGAATTTAACCTTTTAGAGACAACTCGGGGACGACACGGTAACCCACGTCGGCCGAGTGCGCCAGCTGTACATCCCGCGGTCCCCTACGACAAGATAGGTTTTCGCGGGGCACAACTTACCTTCCCTAAGGGGCTGTCACCACCCTTAGGGGCGTATCCCCGCCGAGCTACCGACCCACGTGCGAAAGCTTTTACAATGCAATAGCAGAGGTAGGCCGGCCGAGGGCGTTTGCTCGTTCGCTGTAGCATAGGTACGCATGGTTAAACGCTAAAGCGAACCCGAACGTCGTCTGTCCCTGGGGCGCTGATCTCTCAGGAATCGGAGCGACGTCGGTCAACTAGGACGTGACATTCCAAGCGTAAGGAAAACTTCTAGCGATCCTAGTTCCTTCTCTCAAAGACAATCAAGAGTTAGTCAGACAAAATGCTTTCAAAAGAATACTCAGGTCAACGTAAGTTGACTTGTCTTCTGAGATCAGCCTATATATAACACAACCATGCATGCGACAAGGGTTGACTTGACTTCAAACAACACTTATCAATAAAAGATCAAAGCATGGTTAACATGCATAGCGACGCTTGAATAGCGTCTGATCGAATCATCTCCACTCTGTCTGCCAAATGGATGGGTTGTCACGACTTTTCGACTTGATGAGATATGTTGCCAAGTTCTTTCATTCCGCCCCATACTGACTATTAGAAAGGAAACGCAGATAAATCCAAACTCTCAAGTAAAGTTAGAATGCCATATCTTAAATGATGACGTCAATACTTTTCTAACTTTGGTGTGAATGCCATCTGCAAGTAATTCGGCTACTACTTATACAAGTCAGCGACCAACTCGAACAGTCGGACGCTCGATGCCCCATTAAGGTTAAGGATCCACTTTCAAATTTTGTTGGTTGCTTTGTCCTTCTGGGCAATAATTACTCTTTCTGTTCCACAAATGGTCATGAAGTACCAGCCTTCGACATAAAGACATTCAAGGTAATGCTCTAGCCACATCTTCCCGTCAACTAGTCTGATCGCCCCAGGCTTGCACTTCTTATGGTGCAAACCTACCCACGAAGGTAGTGCCTACACGCACTCCATCCGTGGCCAGTGAAAACACGAACTGGGCTTCTTATGGCGCCAGTTCCCCATTCGTATGTGGCTCCTAAGACGGCCACGAGAAGGGTAAACTGTGACAGTTTTCCTTAACGCGGGCCGCCAAGAACTTGAGGTCCTTCCGTGAGTACGCGCATGTCCTTCCCCTAGGAGGTGGTTTGGGATACCCCTCGTCCTCACCCGAGCGAACCTCGGAACTCAGAAGTCGGGTTGGTTCCACCACAGCAGCATGATATCCCCCCGCATAAGCGGTCCACTCCAAGTCGATAGCAGGGCCGACCCCTAAGGCAACGAACCCCCGCCTCAGATGTCTCCTAAGAAAGGGAAAAACGTCTACCACGGCAGGCAAAGATGATTCCTTGCCGCCTGACGTCAAGGGTAACTTAGACGAAAAAGGGGATTAGAAGAGAAAATCATTCACACAGACGGGCATAGACAGAGAGGGTCATTCGGGAAAGAATGGGTAACCTCGGGAAAAATCTATGTCCAATTGAGTTCCTCCTTCTTTGTGTGAACGTTTATTTTCGCGTTATCAACTGAGTTCCCTTCCTTTCCACAAACATCCAAACGATAGATAGAAGGCAACCACCCTGTACCCCATTTCCATTGACGTTATTAACCTCGTCTTTATAGCCACCCTTCTACCTATCTGCACATCAGGTTCAAGAAGAAAACCATGCAAAACCATCTCTCAAGTCAGACTCTCATTCACACGCGCATGCACACCTTTCCTCTACCTTTTCAATGAGCGTTCAAAGAACAGGGTCAAGCAAGTGTGGGTTCACACAGGTGTGAAGGGGACTAAGTCAGGCTACCTGACCTTGAGTGAAGTTGAACCGAAGATAGTAAACGGCCCACCCAAGAAAGTCGTATAAACCACACTCCAAATGAGAAGATCGCCGCAGTAAGTTGTCAAAAAAGTGATCCACACCACTCCCTCAAAAAGATCGCCCACTGACACACAACCCCCTCAGTGTCTTAACGTCGTCACCACTTGCGACTAGTACCACTATGCCACCATTGTGTCGAAGTGTCGCCGCCGCAATATGCGGACAACACAACGCCAACACCACCACAAAGCACACACCCTCTTGATGACACTTCTCAAAATTGTCGTTGGCGTCGTAAAAACCGTACAACATATCCACACCACCACTAAAAGAAACACCGCTGCTGCCG